AGAGGCTAAAAGCCGAAGAGGCCCCCACTTAATTGTGGCTCAAGAGGGCAACTACAGACTTAATGAGTTATTTTCAAATTCAACAGCATGGTTGAATCTTTTGAGAATAGCTCGTTGGTCATTTTTTATTGCTTGTTTTTTCTTTGCTCGTCAATAATTTATAGTGGTTATTAAGAATGGAAGTAACTAACATAGTTTGCTTAATGTTTCAGGTTACCATCGTGGGATTTGCCATACCACCCACCACACATCGAACATAATTTTTCCTAAAAATAAATCGAGTATTAACAAAATTTCATTTTAAATGATACTTTATTAAAATGACAGAAAAAATACTTAAAAATCATGATAGAGTACWATACCATACCCGAATTCCCACTCTAATATCATATCATTTTCTGATTTCTTATTACACACAGTTTCCCCACTTTTCATTCTTCATTTCATTCTTCATTTCATTCGTAGAAACTAATTATGTTATAATGTTTTTTAATATCTCTTATATTTTTCTAGGTATCAATGGTAAGATTTAATCAATAATTGTTGAAACTAAATTTTCATTTTATTTTGTTTCAGGATATGATTTATTCCAACGCATTTGTAAGTATTGGATTTTGATCTAAAAAAGGATCGTGCTTTCGATGCATTCATTGCATCTTTGCAGATCTAAATTAATCTTTTCTTTTTCTTTTTTCAGGTTCGTTTCCAGTTTCTTTTTTCAATGGGTAGCGGGTAGATTCTTTCTTTGTGCGAAGAAAGGTCTACTTCAGGGATGCGACCCTGCCCACGCGAGCCTTGATTCTATCTTACCTCCAAGGATAGAATCATGTCCTTACCTAAAATTCCACCCACACCAAACGATTCTATTTTTAATAATTTGTTGGTAGAATGAATCATGGAGACAATGCAACACTACGTCCAAGAGAAGGAAGAAACGAATCAAAAGAGGACTGAGTTATGGTAAATGGTAGTATGACATAATTATTTTTACAAGTACCATGGAACAGCACAAAATCACGAAAAGTTTTATCTCAATAATCTTATTTTTTCTCTAGTTTTCTTTGGTAAGAAAAACCGTGGAGACGATGACAAATTTCGTTCAAGAGGAGGAGGAACTGGACTAGAAGAAGACTGAGTAATGGTAAACCGTAATATAAAATAATTATTTCAGAAAGTAATTGAGAAGTATTTTAATACGTTTATTTTGTTTTCCTCGTAGCATTGCACATGTATGATAGTTATTTTTAATGCATTTTCTTTTTTTTTTTTTTTTTCATGTACCATTGATGAACCAAAAATTATATACATTTATTTTTATTGTACTATATTTTAGGTAGATTGCAAAATTATTATATTGAAAATATTCATAATTTGTAGTCTCCGTATGTGTATATATTGCAATTATACTAGAGTATGTTACTTTTCAGTACAATCACCGATGTTACTTCAATTCTATTTAGATGCACTCATCGTTATTAATTTTGTTATTTAATATTCAAACTTTCCTCTGTATACTCGTTTACTATTTCAATATTTTTTAAGTGAAACTCTTAGGGTGGGGCCTCAGAGTGGGGCTCATTAAAAAACGTTCTCGAGGTGATGATTTTCTTTGGTTTCAATCTAATTCGGGTGGGGACATCTTCAGGATGCACATCCCGGGTCTTCAGAAGCGGTTACCTCCTCGTGGTTAGACCTGGGCAATGGTATTTTACTTTCAGTATAATGTTTAACATATTTTGTATGTTATACATTCTATTGCAAGTAAAATCTAGCCAAAGACCGCTTACCATAAACATTATAATTGTAATTAGTTTCTTTTAAATTCCTAAATAATACCAAATTCTTTTATTCCTTTCCTTGGTTCCTTTCCTTGGTTCCTTTTATTCATTTCATCTAAAGAAACTAATTACTTTATAATGTTTTTTAATAATTTTTGTATTTTTACAGGTACTACACGGGACAATCAATGATTATTGAAATTTAATTTTCATTTAATTTTCATATAATTTCTATTTAATTTTTTTTTAGGATATGATTAATTTTCTATTAGATGTTAGATTTAAATAATCTTTATATATTTACAATACTACTTTTTAATTTTCTGCCAATAGTACTCACGATATATAAATAAACTTTAACTGCATACAATCATTACATCCTTACGTCGTATTTTTTTGTTTTTTTTTAGTTTAAAACCTTTGGATGGGACTCTCAAACTCGCGCTATTGTGGTGATTATATATTTTCTTTTATTTAAATTTTAATCGAGGGTTGTGGCGATCTTTAAGTTGCACTTCTATCGTTACCGGATTGTTTTTCTCTTTGCTTTTTTTCGTATTAGAATCAAATACATTCGTATTTAATCATTATAAAATTTTAATAATAAAATTTGCGCAATCTTATTTTCTAATGAGACATTTAGGGTGAGACTTATAGATGGATAATTTTCTTTTTTTTTATCCAAATTTGCCGATAACAACGTTGAATACTCTATGAAATTTATGAGTAATCCTTAAAGTTATCAAAGTCTAAAATTATGATTTATTTTAGAAAAATAATATAATCTTACTTAATATATATAATTCAATCATTTAATTATTTCGATTTGTATAAAACGATTGTAGAATCCTACGAAAGAGATAGAGAGAGAAATAAAATCGAAATAAAAATGTTCGTTTATTTATATAATAAAATTTTTATTAATCCCCAAGTAAGTGAAAAATTAGTTAAAACTGATAAAAAGACGTATATTAAATTATTGAAAAACTTTCAATCATTATTCTAATATAAAAACGAAGTACCATATTTATTTAACGAATAATTCTCACTTTCTTAATACGAATTATAAAATTAAAGAATAATATTCGAATATTCCAATGCATATATACACAATTAACTTTCGCAAAATACCACCCTACTTATACAATTAATTATTACATACTACCGAGGTAAAAAAAATAACAATTAAAAAAGATAATCATCAGTAAAACTGTACGACGAAGTTCATAAAAATATTATTTTAATTTTTAATAATATTATGACCATTTTATCCCTACAGATAATTAGATTAGCTCAGATAATTTAGAAATATCATATATATTTCAAAATAATTTCAATAATTTTTATATTTGTTATACCACATATATTTGTTCAATTTTTTAATTTGATAGTCGTTATTAAAAAAAATATTAAAATCTATGATCGTAGTATCGCACTAGATTTGAACCGAGGGTATCTCTATTAGTCAACGAGAGAAAGCATATTGGTTTTAATATAGAATAAGAGAAAAATTATAAATAAGACGTTCATTTTGATCGTTGACCAATTGGATAAGGCGCAAATCGCATTATTTTGTATTCTGAGGATTATAAATAAAGGGATGGAATCACAGACATGAAAAAGAAAATGAAATAATCAACTCCGGACATTTCTCGCGACTCGTATTTTAAAATCTTTGTTAAACGATAAAAGTAATAAACTGTTGCGTTCTTACCACTTTTATAGCACACTTAATCGTCCACTTTATTAGCTCGTAAACAAACCTTTTGCGAAACTTTGGTGTGACGTATCAAACGGTAGAGTTTCGTCTTATAAAATAATTTCTTATCGTCTAATATTAATATCATTGGTACTATTATTTGTTTTTTTCGTATCATTTTGTTGCATTTTTATGTTCATCTAATAGTTCCAATCAGACAAGTACATCGGTAGATATCTCCTCGATATCGTTACTAAGTAAAACATAATTGGAGTCCTTGTTGACAAGCAATCGATGCTGTTGATTTACTAAGAAAGACGATCCTCTTCTAATAGTTCTCTTTCCTAACTCTATTGCTTCGTGTGTAAACACTACATTGTTGTAGGCCTTGACGAAGACCGCGATTATAGTTATCAAACCGACTAGAATAAACCCGTAAGTGACACAAGGTATTGCGACATCCGCGAATGTTGTCGCCAAGTACACCCATCTTTTAATCGATGGCGGTAGTTCTTCAATGCCTTCTTCGAGCCACATTATTGGAAACACTATATCAGGAAAATTCTCCACCACGCTTATGCCCGGCTGACGTTCTACTTTCAGATTTAACTGTACTCGAACTTTTCCTTCTAAAGGTATACCGAGTTTCTGAAATCAAAATATATACCATAATAATAAGAAAGCTTTGGGGTCGCGTTCCTTTCAAACTTTTTTTTTTTATAAAACAAATAAATATTATAAATATATATATAAAGAAAAAAAATATAAAAAGCTATGTTTTAATTATTTTCGGATAATTACCGGTTGTATCTTAAAATAACTTCCATGTATTTCTTTTACTGGTTTTAATCCTACGATCGCGTCAAGAAGTTTCGTGTCAGCTTGGTAGAAATGAGGAAAGGATAAGTAAACTGGTGCAGCTGCAATATATACATAATTATATTAGTTACATTTCAAAGAATTAAGCTTAACAATCGAACTTTTAATAAAAATAAACTTACCGTACTGACAAGGGCTGATATTTTGTAATCCTTTTATTAAACAAGCGGAAGGATCATTTATACAGAAACATTTATTTTCCGGAGTAGTTTCATCAGGTCTTCCGAAGACATTTTCCGGTGGCGTAAATAAATCTGATTTGATATTATTCGTATTTGCTGGTCCACGATATTTCAATGGCAAGACACGGCAGAGATCTTTGTCCCAAACATGAACGATATCCGATCCGGTTTTATCTCGTGGCGGAAAGAACGAGCCTTCATTTTCAAATATAAAAATGCACTATCAGTAATAAGCTAATATCATTTTTTTTCTCTATTTTCTTTTTTTTTTTTTATTTCGGATAAATCGATTTAAACATCATGCTAAGATTACTAAACGAAGATTATATGTGTAATCCGTAATGAATTTACCTTCGGAAGCTGTAATAGAACTGCATGGTGGTTCCGGCCAATACGGTAGATGATCCAATCCATTTAATCGATTTATTAAACCGAATTCTTTCATATCTGTATGTCCGGTATATATAGTTGATACTTCATTTAACGTACCATTTCTCTACGATAAAAATATTCATTTACATAAATAATCTCATGTTTCGGAATCAGAAGCATTTCGTATTAACACTCCCAATTTCTTTCGAATATATAAGCCGACACTGATCGTAACTGTAAATGTATTGTAAAAAAATAAAAGTATTATAGAATAAAAACTTACCCCAAGAAGGAGTCCCATTTGACTCATCGGACGTCGAGTCTTTGGAAAAAATCGATGTGCTATACTAACTAATGGATCATCGTAACCAAATACAAGTTCCTGAACAGTTACAGGAACAAATGGTTTCATTTTCATTCCGCTAAGGAACATCGATAAACCGATTGTAATAAATCGAGGTAGGCTTTTACTTTGCGTCGAAAGTGTCTGAAAATTAAAGAAACTTAAGATAGAAGCATTCTCTCTGTCGAAATCGATTGTAGAGAAATCGTAAATTAATGGTAATCTTTGTAAATATATAATACATACGAAATTTATGGATAGTGAATAGACGAAGAAAACATTTCATTTTAAATAAGAAATTTGAAAAGAAAGAAAAACGTTGTGTAATTTATTCCAACTTAATTTCATAAATATTAAATTTTCTTATAGTAATGTAATCATTTATTGTCTATCCAACAATCATAAGTTATATTTTTATAATAAATTAACAAAAAATGATTTAATTCGATTATAATTTTAACTTACAAGCAGCGGAATGTTAGGAACCGTTACTTTGAGATCTTCATCCTTGGACATTTCAGGAACGAAATGTAAAATTTTCTTATGTTGATAAGTTACAGTACCGTTATTATGGAAAACTATGTTGACTTTTTCCATATCTTCCCTGTATATCATGAATGGGATTAAAATTGTGTGTGTTTTTTTTTTTCTAAACAAATTTAATTAACTTTCAAATTCTCACTTATATACAAAAGGACCGATTTCTTGAAGTTTCGGCTTTTCGTTAAATTGTAAAAAGCCTTCGGTGTTGGTCATGTTGAATATGTATACTTTGGTCAATCGAACAACTCCAGGTTTTTGCCAGTAATGAAAAGCAAGCGAGCCATTCCATAAACGCAATTGCTGCAATAAAAGATTATGTGAAAATGACTAATCACATATTTCTGCGATTAATATTAAAACATTTATTAAATATAGAATATCTTTTATTGCATAACAATAAGTTTTACTACCGCGTGCATTTATTTTTGCGTTATATGTATACATATTAATGGCCTAGCCACATTGAAAAAACTAGTTCCCATCAGATCATTAAGCAACAGCGGTTAATGCATAGACGGGTGACCCATTCGAAAAAAAATTTGCTGTTCACTCCAAAGAGGCGATTAAAAAACGTGACCCTAGTATTGAATAGATGAGAGAAGGTGTCCGAGAAGTGACTTAAACCCATAAGAAGGAGAGAATATATATATGTATGTGAATGTATTAGTTATGCACAAGAACTGCTTGTTATATATCCATTAATGAGCAATAGAAAGGTTGAACGGAACTAAATTATTATTGGAACATTGAAATACAACTTGTACATTTTTCGATGTATTTATAGTTAAAAAAAAAATAATAATCCCTATAATTACACATTCAAATATCGAGGCTAATAAGATAATAATGATTACAAAATACTTAATAATGGAAAATCCTTTTATTCTGTTTCTTTGTTATATCATTAAAAATAAACATTTATTTGAGCTTTACTACAAATTTATAAATGTATAAAATTATATAAATATTAGATGTAGAAATTAATTCAGTGTCTTTTTAAAACAAATTTA